ATAATCTAGTTTACTGTACTGAGCTATTTAACATTTATTCCAGTGTGGGACACAGAGGTTTAATGTGGATAACCTAACCACACTCCCTGACATAGTTAGCAGAAAACAAATATTTTTCTTAAATAGCTAGCAATCCCCACAACTAGAGAGCACAGGGAGCTAATGGCCTGCTTGCTAAGACTGATAGCTTCAAGATTTAACCCTAGCAGTTAAAATCAATTAATTATTCATTGTAACTGGAGCAGAATATAATTAATTATGTTAGCTTGACTGGTTCAAGTTTAATTCCACTAAAAAAAAATCATTATAAAAAATCATTACGAATATAGGTCATTATCACGAATTACTGCTAAAATAAAAACAGTAATGAATAAGCTTCTATATGAATTCGATTCACATTTAAAACACTTTCACGGAAAATTTCAACCATAAATACAGGTAGAGAAAATAATATATCTCCAAGTATCCATCAACCAGCTTCAATAATTATGAACTCACAGCCAATTTTGTTTCAACTATATCCTTACACACTAGCCAACTCCAAGCCCTCAATTATTTTTAAGCAAATATTAGACATATCACTTCATTTTTACATATTTCAATTTGCATCTCTAAAAGACAAGGGCTCATTTTAAAATGTAACCACAATACCATTATCACACCAAAAAATTACTGTAAAAATCCTTAATATCACCAAACATCCAGTCAATCTTGATATTTCTCCAATGGTCTCTAAACAGTTTGTTCAAATCAGGATCCAAATAAGTCCATAAATTATCTTGATAGATCTATCCCTTAAGTCTCTTTATTCCTTTTTTTTTTTTCTTTTCTTCTTACATTTTAGTTGTTGAAGAAATCGAGTCCAGAGTCTGGATTTTGCTGATTTAATCCTTCGCGGTATCATTTGTTCCTCTGTCCCCTGGATTTTTTAGGGTAGTGGTAGTCATTTAATAGATCTGCAGGCTTGATCATGATCAGATTTGCTTTTGGCAGGACTGATTTGCAAGTTTGTATGTGTACTTTCGATAGGAGGCACAAAATCTGATTGCTGTTTGTGTGGTCAGCAGTCACTGCTGATTATTGTCTAATCTGTCGATCACTGGGGAATAAAATGGTGATACCCTAACTCTATCATTTCTGTGCAGCTTATTAGCTGCAATGTCTTTAAAAGCACATCCCAAAGGTAATTACAATTTTGTTCACTATCATTAACTCATAGATGGAGTTAAACGTAATAGGATGAGTTTCAATCTCTTGCAGATATTATCCTTACTGATGTTAAAATTATCTCAGCTTTGAACAGTGGGAACTTCCTCAAGGTGCCTCCTGAATCTTTTTGACAGACCTCTGGTACATACAACACAATGTTTTCTATTAATAGGTTTTTCTTGCACATTTTTTCCCCTACACCTGGAATTAGTCATTAATCCAAGGAAGTCTGGTTTCTGTGAAGAGAATCACATTCAGAGACCACAACTGGAGCACTAAATTTGACTTTTATTTAAATTATACCCAAAGCTAATAAAGTCAATTAAGCAGGAGTCTTCTACTCTTGTTTCTAATAAATTCATGTGGCTGCATACCTGGTGAATTTTTAAGCATAAGAGTCAGATTTTTAAAAAATTATTCTTATACATTAATGGTGAGAGCTTAACTTGGTACATCTATGTGGAATATCACAATTTTTATCAATGACCCTTAAAAAATCTTTTAATCCAACATTTCCACTTTTAAGAATTTTATTATTAGGTTTAGGATTTTCCTCATAGGATTGTTTAAAATAATGAACAACCTAGAACCTAAATGTCCAAATGATGGGAAATCGGTTAATTTAAAAAATATATAATATACCCACAAAAATATTTACATTCATTAAAATGATGTAGTATAATATCAATGTATTATTAAATAAGAAAGGTAGGTTACAAAAGTGTACATATTATGCTTTTAGTCGTATGTGCATAGAAAAAAAGTCTTGAAGGCTATTTCTCCAAATCTTAATAGTGCAAATTAGACCACTCTCTGTTTCCACTGCTGGTTTAGGACTTGACTTCCTGCGTCTGCCAAGTCAGATACTACTCCCCAGTCTGCTTCCCAGTTTCCAAAATTTTGTTCTTGTTCTCCTCAATCCACCTTGTCCTTGCTGGATTATCCCCCACCACTTTAGCGGGGATTGCAGGAAGAGCAGAAGCTAATAAATATTTTGCTCAACCTTCCATTTTTACCTAGCACCCTATTGCTTTTTGTAGGAGAGAACAGATGCTCTAAAGAGCTTATCAATTATAAAATACATGAATTTCTACTGAAAATACTGTATATATAAACTATTTTATATATATATAAGACACACAAACAATATAGCAATATAAAACAGAAGGGCTCAATTTGCATCCTAATAATATAAAGAGATATAATATAGAGATACAGAAACAATAATGGTAAAACTAAATTGGCAATAAATGGGAAAAGAGAATCAAATGGAAGTTGTTTTTAATCAATAACGTAAAATTAGAGATACTAACACTGAAGTTGCCCTCTGTGGGGCAAACTAATCATCTTTTTAGTTTCCTAGAAGTAAAAATCATTTTGGAGAAACTAAAATTTCTTACAACTTTAGTGACTTCTCTAAAGATGAACTGTCTCTGGCAGCTGCTTTAAAACTACATCCAGCTTGCTCCCCAGTTTGGGGCGACCTTGAGCCTTTAAATATAGATAATATTTCTTTCCTCTTGTACCCCTGAAGACGGGCTGTCCAGGTTTGTAACACATTTACTTCACTGACGCTCCAATACCTTCAATTAGAAATACTTAATGAGAAATTAAAGGCCTTCTCAAGCACAAGTATCCACAATTTCACAGCTGCCAAGGACACCGATCCCATCTTTGTAGAAATAATAATCATCAGGTTAGACTACAGAACATACATAAAGGTCTTAAGGATACAGCAGTTTGCTCAGCTTGGACAAATCAGTTTTAACTAGTCTGTGACTCTGACAAAAATGAAGTACCCAAAGCACAAAGTATTGAAGAAAAAGATAAGAGGGAGAGAGAGGGAGAGGGAGATAGTCTAAACAAAATTTTAGCAATTAAAAGTAAAAATAACAATTATAATTACCTGAATTCATTAATATTAATGGTTTCATGACTAAACTATATAACTAAACATAATATATATTTTGATGGGCCTAAATTAACAAAGTAAATTGCTATTTACTCATCTAACAAATATTTCTTATTTATAGCGAAACTGGACTAAAAGAGAATTTGAGGCAGATTACTCCATGTGGACACTATTCTGAGTTTACAATTCCTTTTCTAGATAACACTGAAATGTCAATTCTCTCATTATTTGCTATGAATTTGACAAAACAGGAAAATTTTGGCTCTAAATTTTAAAAATATACTTATCATTAAACTACACTTTTAAAATAAATGAGGTACTTAGCATTTGAAACTTTGAATACATATAAATAAGACTGTAAGTTTCCAAATGACTCATCTTTTCCACCAAGACAAGCACTGAATATTGATTAGAAACAATGTAAAGCAGTTGAGATTAGCTGAGTGTTTTAAAAATGTTCATTGTGTGCAGATGGAGTATCTAATTGGAAATCTTCTATGTGGACTCCAAACTAGGAATAAAAATTATCTGTACTTGTATGAGAAGAGACAATCCTCTTTCTGCTTAACAGTCTCTTTCCTTTAGTAAGAAAAAGTTGCCTTGTGGGAAGCTTCTTTTGATAGTTCTCAGAGTTCAAAGAGTATAGAACCTTCAAGTTGATTTCATCAAGTCTATTTATTAATGCATTTCAAGTTTCAAAAAACCTTACATCTTTGCACAATACTTTATTTTTTGCAATTTTTAGTAAAAATTTCCAAAGTGAACAAAAAAGATACTGTATAAAACACAGTGGACATTAAACTGACAGTAGTATTAGATCTCGTTTGTCTTGACCCTTTTGTTTTACCACATCTTGATTCGCAGTGGAAAGAGTTCAGTGCACGTATCTCTTTTCAGAAAACATTTAACTTAGACTCAAAATAAAATAGGGCAGTGTGTGTACCTGCCAAAACCCTACCACAGGATAACGTTACAAGCAAAAAATTTACATGTTCCAAAGTCTACCACACTCAAGAAGTTACTAAGAACTCTTGCAGAATAAAAGTTACCATTTTAGAAATGCAAACCCACTTTCAACCTTTGCACAGTCCAAAAACAAAGGCATTTAAATGATTTAAAAGCAATTACATATATATCTACCTACTTGTTTGTTTAGAATTATTTATAGTCTATCTGGGGTTTCATGTACAAAATTTGTCTCTAAATCATGTACAAAAAGCTGTATTTTGAAAAAAGTCACCACATACTGTACAAGTTTACAAGGAAGAGATCCCATTATTTTCTCTAGCATTTTTGGCCTTGCTGGCTTGCGTCACATTATGAGAATGATTGTGTAAACCTTATACTCTTAAGAAAAAAGGAAAAAAAAAAAAAAAAAGCCAAAACACAGAAATCTTTTCAACTTTCCCTAAATTTGAGAAGTCAGGAAAATCATAGCTGTTTACTTCTAATTTAAGCAATGTAACTGGAAAACAGAAGCAATAAATACGTCACAAGCTTAACATTTTTTTTTGTAATGCCCCTTCCATTTCCTGCATAGCAACAGCCTGTTAATACATTAAATGCTTTTGCTTTCTCTTTCTTTAAAATGCCAATTATTTACAACTGTTTTAAAAATAAATTTGGAATGGGACATTGTGCTGTTTCACCTTCATTGTTGTTTAAACATTTTAGGGAAAAAAATGTCAGAAGGTCTATCTATAATTTTAACTACTAGCTGAGCAAATTACTCATCTTTAGTGGTTACCAATGATCAGTGATGATATGCTGAAAAAACTGTTTAAATAGTTTGACAAAGACACAGCTTTTCTTTTCATATCAGACAAAAAGCATAATTAGCATACTTTAAATATATGGAAAACACAAATAAGTAGGCTAGAAAAAAACAGAATCATCTCACTGACATAATTTCTACCATAGCATGAATAAAATTTTACCTATCAATTCAAAAATGGAATTGAATTAGAGAGTTTAAAATACATAAGCAGAAATCAGACATTTACATAAAGAACTCTGGAGTAGTATGCTGCTTATGTCCAGTTTGCACAACACTTAACTGTGTTCTTCAGCATAGTCACTCGTGCTCATAGCAGCCATTTGATAAAGAAAAAATGAATATCTGAATCAACTCTGCCATTATAAAAAGGTAAATTGATTTTCATTTCAAAACTGCCTGTGTAAAGCATTACAGAATCCTGGACCACTGAATACCACCATTCTCTGTTATCCTGAGTATGTCAATTAAACAGTAATTTTTCATTTAAGAGCGGAAAAATTTTATAATACAAAGAAACATCCATATTGCAATTTCTGTTTACAATTGCACACAGAAGTACAGTGTACGTAAGAAATACATGTCTGCATATAACAAGGTATGTACATTGGCAAGTGATGTCTCCAATGTTGAGGTGGTCGAGCCGCCTAGCCTTGATTGGCAGTTGAAAAAAATATATATATTTCAATTTGTGATAAAAGTTTATCGAGATCCAACTTTGCCTGCAAGTGAAGAAAATGCAGCAACAAAGAACAGGGAACATGGGGCAACATAATAATATTCTAAGACTTTGTGCCATTAGGTTAAAAATATCTGTCCATAAGAAAATTGGGTTCCTTTTCCACCTCCCACCCCCAAATTGGAATTTTCAGGCTTTAAAATATAAGTAATTCCACCTGGTCTGAGGACATAATCTCTTGCCATGTTTTTCTTCAACTGTTACTTGTGAGGGTTTAGTTTGGAGATGACGACTTAATAGGTTTCTCTTTGGAGTGAAGTTTTCCCATTGTAGGCACTAGGAAGAACCAAGGCAAAATCTGCAGTTAACGTCTCATGTGTCCCATTTGATAACTCTCTCGGGGCCTCTGACGCTGGGGCTGTTGAATGGGCTGCGGAGGTCTCCTCCTCTTTAAAGTGCCTGTGAGTCGCAACAAAAGCAAAATAGATTTACCGTGAGCTTTTTAATCTTTAGAAACAAAGCTGCTGTTTCAATAAGATAGGTTCTAGTTCAGTACTGTCCAATATAATATGAGCTACCTATATAATTTTAAATTTTCTGGTAGTTGTAAAAATAAAAGTAAAATAGAGACAGGGGGAACCACCTTAACAATATTTTTATTTTATTTAACCTAATATAGCCAAATCATTTCATTTTCTATCATTTTAAAACATAATCAACACAAAAAATTATTAATGAAATGTTTCATTTTTCATACTAAGTCTTCAGAATCTGGTATGTATTTTATATTAATACTTACTAGCACATCTCAACTGAGACTAGCCACATTTCGGTGCTCAATAGCCACAAGTATTAGACAGATTAATCTAGATTAATATTATAGATTCTAAGGACAGAATCCACGAGGAAATTATTAAATGTCTTTGAGCAAATGACTTAAGCTCTCTGAAACTCAGATACCTAGACTGTAAAACAGGGATGATAATTAACTCATATAATCTCTTGTGAAGATTGTAAAATTCAGGTGACAGTGTTTAGCACTTTTTGTGCGGGTTCAATAAATGACAGCTATTTTTTAAAAAGTTTTTAAAGGTGCTGGCATCGCCCTCAATGACCACTTTGTAAAGCTCATTGCCTGGTATGACAATGAATTTGGCTACAGCAACAGGGTGGTGGACCTCATGGCCCACATGGCCACCAAGGAGTAAGAGCCCCGGACCACCAGCCCCAGCCAGAGCACAGAGGAAGAGAGAGGCCTCAGCTGCTGGGGTGTCCCTGCATACTCAGTCCCTACCTCCCTGAGAATCTCCCCTCCTCACAACATAGTTTCCATGCCAGAGACCCTGAAGAATGGGAGGGGCCTAGGGAGCCCCACCTTGTCATGTACCATCAATAAAGTTCCCTGTACTCGGAAAAAAAAAAAAAAAAAGTTTTTAAAGGTGTTATTTACTTAAAATGAAACCAATACACAAATAATTGTTTCACTGAACAGGACCATAATTGGTAACAGTATCTAAAAAGTGTCATTTGTCATGTGGAAATCCCTTAAATACTAACGTAAGTTCCATAGTGCTAGCTAACACTGCGAATTTAAGAAAAGCAATGACATCAAAATCAAATTTCCTCTGATTTGCACTAAGATATAGTCCTGGCATGACCACTTGGCTCTCTTGACCAATGACAGGTAAATGCAGGTGAATAACTGAGAGAAAATAGAGAAAATTATAAGAAACCTAGTTTTGAACTACTTTATGTAGGGTAGTGGACTTGGCCTGAGGTAAGAGGTAGAGGAGAGAAATGCCCCCAGTTAGCTCTGGCTCTCCCCGGTCACTGCCTTGGGACAATGTCTGCCCCAACATCTGTAGAGAACAGGCATCCTGAAGGCAGCATAAAAGCCACAAATACCTTGAAGAGGGGGAGGAACAAATAGATGGAAACTAAATAATCTGGAGCAGTTAATTCTTCCCACTTTTTCTCCTCCAAATGCCCACAGCTAATCTAAAGAGGGTCTCCTCCTAATGCTGTGTCTCCCTGAGAGGTAAAGTATGGAGACCAGAACTGAGGAGTTGTTTTCAGGGATGGAGAATACTTGGCTGTGCTTATTTGATGACTGAAGCCTCTACCGTAAGACTATTCCACAGAATGAGTGGGTTCTGTATTTCCCCATTAGCATCACCCTGGGGAAAATGAGTTTATGTGCCAGAAAATATTTCAAGAACACAAGCATTAAAAACAACAAGAAACACAGGCACAGTGTGTCCATAGTCCCAGCTACTTGGGAGGCTACAGCGGGGAGGATCGCTTGAGCCCAGGAGTTCAACGTCAGCCTGGGCAAAATAGCGAGACCTAGCTCTTAAAAAAAATAAATAAATAAAAGTAACAGAAGTACAATTCTTAGAATAGAATGACCAATAATTTAAAAGTAGCTTAACTACCATAATAAAAACAAGGTACATATTAGAATATGAAACACAAAAAAGAACCAAGCAAAAATCAAAATTTCTAGTTTTGAATATTTTTAGACACTCAAGATAAATTAGCATCAAATTGGCAGTCATTGGCTAGATTGGACTGATAAAAAAAGCACAAACATCAACTAAATCATTCATCCAGTAATCCCGTTTTCAAGGAGAAAGTACTATAAAATTAGTCACTAAACATCTGCTTATAATTCAATTCTACCTGATAAATGATTTTGAGTTATATAAACATATACTTTGCTCAAATGTTCTTACCTGGAAGTGGTTTAGGAGGAGGCAACTTTGGATTACTACTTGGAGTATGAACACTGCATATCTTAATAAATCCAGCCATTAACATGATCAGGGCAATTCCCATAAGTAATACTGCCCACCAATGAGCCTAGAAATAAACAGATTTTTCTACTGAAAAAGCTATAAAATATTCTAGGATATTTTATATTATATAAAACAGAATATATTACATTTTACTTTTTAAAGAACATTTGTTGGTTGGGAGTTGTGCATATATGTATATATATCTTATATATATGCACATACATATTAATTTCTTTAAATATAAAAAAAGTTTAAAGGAGAAAACAGAAATACCCATAATTTCACCTCCTAGAGGGAACCACTCAATCTTATTTTCCTTTCAGTCTCTTTTATATATGTACCTATCTTTGTCATATACACAAACACATATGCAAAACTGGGATCATGTTGCATATAGTTATACTGCATTTGCCTGTGTTATTAAATATTTTCTAGTTTAAACATTTTTTTGTTTTTTGCCTCTTACTTTTATAGAGTATGTTCTGTTTGCTTTTATACTCTCCATGGCTTAGAAGGTATACAACTTGCTTTAAACTCTACTAGTAAATAGATTTTTAAAATACTCTTTAACCTATACTGTTTTCTAATCATCAAAGTTAAGACTGAAATTCTCTTTTCCTCTTCTTCTTTCTATTTCATTTGGCATTTGAGGCCCAGACTACTATTAGGAAATTATTACTATTTTTTAAGCCCTATACTTTGAGGACAATAGAAATTATTTTTATATATCTTAGTTTTCATTATATTAATACATATATATAATCTTTCTTTTCATTTAGTTATAGGATAACTATCTTTTTTAATATGAAAAATGCAAGGATATACACAGCATAGCAGCAAGCAAAGTTTACCCAGTGTAAGAAGAAACCAAAAACTTTACTTTTAACCCATATGAAACAAATCAATTTAGCAAAAAAAAAACTTCAAAAATTATTGATAAAATCTTACAGAAAAATTACTGTTTCCATTCTTAAGAAATTCTAAGTCTGTTTTGCAATTTCAAATATTCAAACTTTGTTTTAAGAGATCATGTACTAATAAACACATAAAACATTTACAACTGTGAATCTTCACATTGGCTTTACACAGATTGTTATATTACAGAGTTACTGCTAATTATTTCCAGCAAAACTCTAAATTAAGAAGATTTTCTATGATCTGGGTCTTAGAACAGTCTACTACTTCTATGTTATTTACTTTATCCAGCGGTGATGATGTAATTAAAGTAATACTAATGCTAATTTTAACATTAGTTAAAGTAATGCTAAAATTAAAATGCATATTGTGGCAAAATATCACAAGCTAGTTTTTCTGTGTGTGCATAAAGTCTTTCCTACATTTTTAAAAATTTGTTTATTTTGAAAGAATCTCAAACTTACAGAAAAGTTGCAAGTAAAGTACAAAAAACTTTTAAAAACCTGACAGCACCCAAGAGTAACTTGCTAGCCACCATGATGTTACTTACCCCTGAACATATCAGCATATAATTCCTACAACACAAGGCTGTTTTCCTAGATAACTATATAACACAATCATCAAAATCAAGGAATTAGTGCTTATGTATTACTAACATTTAATCCCCAGACCGCATTCAACTTTTCCCATTTGTCCAATACCATCCAGTTCAGAATCATGTGCTGTATTTAGCTGCCATGTTTCTTTAGTTGCCTTCAATCTAGAAAGGCTCTAGTCTTTCCTTGGCTTTTATGACCTTGACACTTTTAAAGATTTACATGGGCAGTTGTTTTTATGAGAATGTCCCTCAACATGGGCTCCTCTGGTGTTCCTTTATGATTAGATTCAGGGCATAATCTTTGGTAAGAATATCACAGATGCTGTGTTCTTCTCATGGCATCCTACCAGGTGACAAATGATTTTGATTTCATTACTGGTAATGTTGACTTGATCACTTGATTAAAGTTCTATCTGCCAAACTTCACCACAAAGATTCTCTTTCGTAGTCAATGAGTATTTTGTAGGGACGTAATTTGGAACTATGTAAATATCCTGTTCTTCATCAAACTTTGAATGTATTCATTTCTTTATTCCCTTGTGGTTTCCTATTTTATACAAAATGGTTATAATCCATTACTATCATTATTGTGTCTTTTAGACATAACCCCATCATTCTTTGAGCACTTTCTTACTTTATGGCACAATAAGAAGTTCCAGAGTCATCTTGTTCTTTCCCTACCCCAGCCCTGGAATCAGCCATTTCTCAAAGAGCCCTGGTTCCTTTAAGTCCTGACCCTCTGACTCTCTCCTTACTCTACTTGCACTCTGACATCCTAGGCCAGCCACCGCTTTGCAGGGGTGCACTTCTCACCCTGCTTGGGCTCTGAAACCTCATACTGGTGGTCTTCCCCACCCCACACCCTCCCAATCTAGTCAGACTCCAATACCCTGCTCTGTGCACTACAGCTCCCCCCAACTGGACTGGATGCCTACCTTGCTTGGCTCACCTAATGGCTTTAGGAATGAACTGTCCAAGAATAAAGATGGGATAAAAAAGATACATACACACAAACACACACACACATTCATATACATTCAATTTTAAAAGCAAACAGAATGATTTACACTTAGGTAAAGGTTTCTCAAAAGTCTTAATAATTCTCCTAAAATTAGATTTCTGTATAGGAGAGTCCCATAGCCACCATCCTTCTCTTTATTTTCACTTTCATTTTGCATTCTGTGAAAAGTGTCTCATGTTTGTCCCTCATATCATTCATTATTGCGAGGACCACAAACTCAAATGCCTACAAGGTAGGTAAGGTGTAATGTAATTCAACCTTACTGTTTAAAGATCTAATTTTTCAAGAGAAGCTATAAATGTGAATATTTATGTGAAATCTATTTTTAAATGCTGGGCAAACTCCCTCAAAATTTCTAAATTTCTAAAAACAACACGTAGACCATACAAAACATGTTGACAGGGCTGAATCTGGCTTGGAAACCAAAACCTTACAATCTACTTTCCATCGAATGCCAACAGAGCCCCCTCAGTTACTCTGACAACTACTGTACACTTCCCAAATACCCTCTGGGGAGGCAGTATTACCTTCACTGTGATCCAATCCATGAGTACGAAGGGTCAAGGGTTTTCCTGCTACTTTCAGGTTGACAAGCTAGTTCTGTTACAAAGGATACACTTTGACTACATTCTTGAACACATTCCTTCCTTCTAGTCTTTCCTGCTCAAAATCATCTTTCACATGGCCATCAGGGTTACAACTACCTAAAATATGGAATTGACCATGTCACTCCTTTATGTCAAACCCTTCTTCAAAAGCTTCCCACCAAAGATCTCCAAGATAGACCATTACGTGGGAGAGAGAAAAAAGCAAAAACAAAAGCAAAAGTTAAAAACACAATAAAGTGCAGCAAAGTATATGTGATATGATTCCACCTTTTTAAAAAAGTATATAATCTTATAGTGGTATAGACACTTTCTGAAGAATATATAAGAAATTCATCCTGAGGGTCCAGGGTGAAAAAAGGGCCTACTTTTGAATGTATTACTTTGTCAATTAAAAAAAGAATACTCAAATTTTTCCCCAAAAGGGGGAGAAAAAGATTTTGTGCTTTGGAAAATTCATATTTCTGTGACTTTTTCCATGTGCCCCATCTCCATAAAACATCTCTGTCTGTACCCTCTGCTTCTACTAGTCCCTAGGCCTTCCCCAATAGGCTTTCCTATATTCTGTAAAAATGACATACAGACTGAAAATATGTTTCTACGTGCCTGTCTGCTGTAACAAACTGTGAGCTCCTTGAACTTATTATATCCCACCACCCCAGTACTTAGCCCACAAAAAAATACCTATTGGACTAGTTATTACAGGCAAGTCATTATTCTAAATACTGACCTTGAAACACGTCTAACAGGCTCATTCATTATTTCTAGATTGCTTAACACATACAAATAATGTGACAATGTTCTTACAACAACGACAGGACATAAATACCATGTTGATATGTCTAATAACAGCTTTTTAGTACTTATATAGTCTTAAATAAAGAGTGATACAAGTATACAGTATGGCAGTAAGAGAGACAGAGTGGAGAGAGAAAGCCCAGATATAATAGTGGTTAAAACTCTGAAGAAAACAAAGCTCAAAAGGACCTAGTCCCAGTTCAGATTAACATATATGTAATAAAATACGGCACTTGAGCCTTTGAAAACTTCCAGTTCCTTCTAGCACACTGTTCCTGGCCTTCTTCCAAATTTTTCCAGATAACTATGTATCCCAGAAGCCCAAAGCTTGAGATGTTTTAGTGCCAATGTTGACAGCAGCTCTTCAGAATTTAGCACCTGGGGAAATGGAACATGGCAGTGGATAGAAGACAGCAAGAAAAACTAAACAAAACAATGGAGTATTTGAGAGTGTTAGTAGGTATGGCCACCTTTGATAGAGGATTTTTTTTTTTTTCCAATGCTCCCTTTAAAGGAGAATAATCAGAGTGAGTTAAATACTAAATTGCATTTTTTCTTTTTTATATGCTATAAAATCTGGGAAAAGAATACCAACCAGGTTAGTAAATGCAAAATATCTGTTTCGTCTCAAAAGAAAAGATCACAAATTGTTGACCCGTTGGTCTGAAAGAAAGGAGAGCTGTCATTTCATTCAACGAACATTTAACGAGTTTAAACTGTGTGCCACGCTCTTATCTGTCATAGTTACAAAGGTGTTAAGCAAAACTTAAGAGACAAAGATATCCAAAAGTTTAAAAAATAGCCTAGAATTTAACCAGCATTATATCAACACCGAAAAAATAAGTCTACATAAAAAACAGAAAGATGTTGCTCAATACAGGTATTTAAATACAGTCAATGACAGAGTAAAAACTCAAAATTTACTAGTCTAATTTATTATGTATTAATTACAGTAGTGTTTAACTTAATAATCTAAATAAACAAAAAGGACCTATAAGATAACAAAACGATAAAACAGGTAACACCCAAAAAAAGTGCATGAATGGAAAGGGGGAAGACACACAATCAAGTCTCTTTCAAACATAAAGTAATCCACCGTTTTTAAAGATCTCCAGAAAAAGTCAACC